GCAACACCAGGTCGTGAGAGTTCCCATCCGGATCCAGAAGGAGGTCTTGGAATACCGGAAGTAAACGAGGGTAGTCTATGGACAGTTCCATCAGCCGAGGGAACCATGGTCGAGACCTCCATAGAGGGGTGATCAAAGCCATCCGACAATCGTGGCGGACCAGTTTCGAGATCGTGCGTGCGATCATGTTGAATGGGGGAAAGGCGTACAGCAGACCCGGTGGCCATTCCTGGAGGAAGGCATCTGTCGCTATTGCAGCCGGGTCCGGCCTCCAACTGTAGAACCTCGGTAGCTGAGTGTTCAGGCGTGACGCGAATAGGTCCAACTGGAACCGGCCCCACAACCTGTTCAGGCACTGGAACACTGAAGCATGTAGATGCCAGTCCCCGGAGTCCCGTAAGTGTCTGGAATTCCAATCCGCCCCCGAATTGTCCAGACCTGGGATGTGTTCCGCCGTCACCGAAACGTTGTTGTAGAGGCAGAACTGCCAAAAATCCTTTGCCAGAAGCGCCAACATTTTGGATTTCGTGCCCCCCAGGTGATTTATGTAACGAACTGCTGATACGTTGTCCATCTTGAGGAGAACGCAACAATTCGCTCTCCCCGGAGCAAGGCTGCGGATCGCGAAGGCACCTGCCAGAAGTTCCAGGCAGTTGATGTGTAACGACTTCTCCGTGTCGGACCACCTGCCTCCTGTGGAGACGTTGCCACAACGAGCGCCCCAGCCGTGTAAGCTGGCATCGGACTCTATCACTACATCCGGGGCAGAACCGAAGATGGCTCTTCCGTTCCATGCCTCCATGTGCGCCAACCACCACGCTAGTTCGTCCCTGGACTCCTCGTCTAATGTTATCCGAGATTCGTATGAATGACCGGAGCGAAGCCGTGATCCCTTGAGCCGTTGGAGTGCTCGGTAATGCAGGGGGCCTGGGAAAATTGCTTGAATAGAGGCCGCGAGAAGGCCGATAATTCTCGCCAGTTGTCTGACCGACAAATCTGGAACACGGAGGGCCCTCCGAATTTCCTTCTGGATGGCTTTCACCTTGGCATCCGGGAGGAACAGGAACTGCTGGATGGAATCTACTTGAAAACCCAGAAACTCTATGGACTGGGCAGGGACCAGGACCGACTTGCTCCAATTGATCAGAAATCCCAACTTCTGCAGAAGGTCGGTCGTCCATCCCAGGTGTGTGAGGAGATCCTCTCGTGACTGGGATAAAATCAAGATATCGTCCAGGTAGATAATGAGGCGAACCCCCCGGGTTCGGAGGAATGTCACCACGGGCTTCATGAGCTTGGTGAAGCACCAAGGGGCCGAGGAGAGACCGAAAGGCAGGCAGGTGAAGCGCCAACGACGCCCATGCCAGGTGAAGTGGAGATAATCCCGGAACTCCAAAGCGATGGGGACCGTAAAGTATGCGTCCTTCAGGTCTAGCTTGGCCAACCAGTCCGATTGACGTAGGAGGTCTCTGAGGCAGTGTATACCTTCCATCTGGAAGTGTTGGTAGCGTAGAAAAGCGTTGAGTGGGCGAAGATTTATGACAGGGCGAACTCCGCCTCCTTTCTTGGGCACTAGGAATAAATTGCTCGTAAAGCCTGGGGCGGCGAACGGCAACTCCTCTATAGCGCCCTTGGACAGCATCTCCACCACTTCCGTGGAAATCATCTCGTCTTGTTCCTGAGGGAGGGACAATTCTCTGGGGAAATAAAACTGGACAGGCATGGAAACAAACTCCAGACGGAAACCCCTTACACATTGTAAAACCCAAGCATCTGAGGTGATCTTTGCCCATTCTTGACAAAATAGGGCCAGTCTCCCCGCCACCCGAACTTGAGCGTGAGGGGAAGAAAGGGTACTCACCGTAAGGACGTCTGCTGGGGGTACCACCGCGGGGGTATCTGGATCCCCAGGCCCGACCTCTTGCCGGGAAGAAGGGAGGGGCCCTCTGTTCCTGAAATCCTCTCGAGGGAAAGAAGGAACCTCTGGTTGCGCGGAATGCGCCTCGGAAACCACGGCCGGGTGGACGGTTCCTGCTACGCCCGGCCCCTCCGAAAACCTTAGGCGCGAACACGCGCTTCATGTTCGCCTGTGCCTTGTCAATAGCCGTAAAGGTCTTGACATAAGCACCCATATCCTTAACGAAGGACGTGCCAAACAGGAGACCCTCCTCAGTTGGATCAGGCTCCGCCACAGTCATAGCGGCCAATTTAGGGTCGATCTTCAGGAGGATCGCCTTGCGTCTTTCTGTAGACATGGCCGTATTGGCGTTCCCCAGTAAGCAAATAGCTCTTTGGACCCAACCAACGGCCACATCCACGTCCAGGACGGAGTCCCCGGTCCTGGCAGCATCCAAAAGCTCGTAAAGCTTGGAAAGGGGACCTAGGGTATCCAGGATCTTGTCCTGGCAGCTTTTAAGAGAGTGGTCAAGGCCCTTCTTGGGCTTCCATCCTGACTTATTCAGGAATTGAGCAATTTGCGGGTCAATGTCCGGGGTTTTGCAAGCCGCGCCCGGGAGGGACGGGCGTGGGCACTCGGCGCGCAATTTATTGCGGCCTTCCCTAGAAAGTGGCGTGCGGATACGCTTAGCCACATATTGGGCGATGTGATCTGGGGGAACCCACTCGGCGGACCGAGGATGACGTAGGTCGTCTGGGTCAAACAGGGGGTTGCCCTGCGGGTCAAGGATCGAGGTGTCACCCCCCGGGGGAGCAAGTGAGGGGCCCCGGGTATTGGCGGAGGACCCGGAGGGGTTCACGCCCGTAAGGGGCAAATCCTCGCCAGAATCATCATGATCAAAGGAGTCGTACTCCATAGCGTCGGACTCATCCTCCACACTCCGGTCGGTATCCGACCCAATATCATGGGCTCTAGCCCTTTTCCATAGTCTAGCCTTTTTAGCCCGGCCAGGGGCTCTTTTGCGCGTGGGGTGCGCGCTATCTGAGACCGCCTCAGGCGTGTCAGTCATGGCAGGTAAAACCTGCATCGAGGAGTGGGAGCCGACATGTTTGGACTTAGCCTTTGCCTTACGGGCTCCAGGCACAGTCTGAGCAGGGGAGAGGGCAGGGGTGGCCATGGGAGGTAAAATCAGAGAGTGCAGGGACTGGGAGAAATTAGAAGAGACAGCTCCCATGGCTGAGGCAATAGCCTTCTGAATGGAGGAAGCCATAGTGGCCTCTAACATGGCTTGAAACTCTTGGGAGGCCATGGCACCATCAGTACTATCTAATTGGAAGTCCCCTGGGGGACCAACAGGCCCATCACCCCTATCCTGCATGGTAGTGACAGTGACAGAATAGACAGTGAGAATTTAAAGTAAAATAATAATGCAATGGCAATTATATAGTTACCAAACTGACTACAAACAAAGCAGGCTGGATAACACCAGGGTGTTAGCTGGGAGAGAGAGGGAAGGGTTGATTAACCCACAAGGAAATTGAAAAAACAAACGTTTTGGCTGGTGTCCCCAGGGAGCAGGGCTACGAGGTGGCCGGTCGCACGGCAGCACTGGGAGGAATACAAAAGACCGCCCCCAAAATGGCCGCCGCACGAGGAGGCACACGAGGAAAACACTCGGCGGGGGAAGGGGCTCGTGCACCCGCCCGCCGAGCCGACACGCTAACTGGAGTGAGGGAGGAGAGAAGCGTGTACACCGCCGCGGTCGCGAGGAAAATCGCGGCCGCGGCACAGCAGGTCGGGTCCCGTGCAGAAACACGGGTAGGAGAGGGGAGAGTGGAGGGGAGGGGTGGGGACCGCCCGGACGGGGCAGAGACACACCCGCGGGCCCAGAGGGGAGACACCAGCCGGGGAAAAACAAAATCAAAACATCAAACCAATATAAACAATAAGAAAACAAATAAGAGTAAAACAAACAGTATGAAAAATCATAAAATGAAACACACTGTAATACAAATTAAAATGGAATCACAATGCAAGCCAAAGATCAGAGAAACACTTATCTGTCTGAGGAAGCAGCAAAGAAAGAGGGGGATTGTGGGAGACACAAGACTTATATAGCTACTTCCTATACCCTGTGATTGGCTACCTGTTGTGCCTATACAGTTTTTTTCTTCAGTTTTGATAATATTTATATTTCTCTTTCTTTGCTGCTGAGGAAATAAAGAAAGAGTTATGCATAATATGAGCCTCCGTGTCTTTAATAAAATCAGTGTACAACCTGTCTATAATCAGTGTACAACCTGTCTATAATCAGTGTACAACCTGTCTATAATCAGTGTATATCCTGTCTCAGTGGCGTACTACACACAACCCATGGCGCCCCGGTGCGAAAACTGTTCTGTGCCCCCCCTCCCCCGCGCGTGCTTACTCTGCGCGGGCTGGGGCCGCAACACATGGCGGTGGGCACCCTGCGACCGCAGTATGTACGCCAGTGCATGCAGATACACATACACATACACTTAAAGGACCACTACAGACACCCAGATCACATCAGCTCAATGAAGTGGTCTGGATGCCAGGTTCCTTCTAGTTTTAACCCTGCAGCTGAAAACCTAGCAGTTTCAGAGAAACTATGTTTCACTGAGGGTTAATCCAGCCTCTAGTGGCTGTCTCATTGACAGCCGCTAGAGGAGCTTCTGAGATTCTCACTGTGAAGTAAGTAATGCTTTCCTATGGGCGGTTTGAATGTGGCTCTTGCCGCGCATGCGCATTCGGAGCTGAGATGCGGATCAGGGCGGAGAGATCCCCAGGGCCAAGGGAGTCCGGCGCTGGAGAAAGGTAAGTGCTTAAGACACACTCTCATGAACAGACGCATACACACTAGCTAACACACACACACACACACACTCAGTGACGGACATACATACTCACAAAACACACACTCACTAACAGACGCACACAAACTAACACACACACTAACAAAAACGTTTTTATTTTATTTAATCCCACCAGCCTCCTTACCTGTGGGGATTCCCTGGGGTCCAGTTGTGCCACTCGGCAGGCTGGTGGGCGTGCGAGGGAGCACTCTCCCCTGAGTGCTTCCTCTTCAGCTCCCTCGCGAGCCGCGTACTGATACCGGAGCCGGAAGATGACGTCATCTTCCGGCTCCGGTATCAGTGCGGTGCGCAAGGGTGCTGAAGAGGGAGCACTCGGGTGAGTGCTCCCTCGCGCCCCCGCATGACTGGCCGTGGGGTGACAACAGGGCCAGCCTCGGGGGGCCCCGAGGTGGCCTTCTCCTGGGGGGCTCCTGCGACACCGCTATGTACGCCACTGCCCTGTCTATAATCAGTCTATATCCTGTCTATAATCAGTGTATAATCTATAAGCAGGTGGCTGTGCTGGTATATACACCACAGGAGGGTTTAGGGAGAACTGAGGAGGAGGTAGTAACAGATGGGTGATTTCCAGATCAGTGAGATTGATTTTAGTTTGTGTTTTTATTTCACTCTCAATTGTGCTTTCCATAAATACACAATAGTGTGTTTGTTGTTCAGGGTCGAAAGTGCCGTTTTTAATCAAAATAACAAATTCCTATAAGGGAAACTACTAAATATTGTGTTGTTGCCTTCCATTAGCCACATCATAGTTCCTTCACCATATTGTAAGTCAGAGGATGTAATACATTTCTGGTTATCTCTGAAACTAAACTAGTGCTGAAATACCTTCTGCTTCAGAATGAGAAACTGTGTTAGTTTATCTAAACTAAATTGGTCAAGATCCTGTTTGAATATTTTTAAATGTCAGGTTTATGCCAGAAGTATCCATTGTCACATTGAAACCATGATAAATATGTTTTAGAAGAACACTGTGATTTGTTCCCAGTTCCTAACGCTTTAAAGGAGACCTGTCTCCAAGATTTTCTGTTTTTAGTTATTCCATATATTTACCAAATGTGTTTTTTGCAAGGTCTGTAAAGTAAATTAACAAATCCAAACTCATTCTGGAACTAGGCACCGATACCTTGTCTGTAATCATTGTAAATTACCTTTTGCCATTGAATATAGTTGGAGGAAGAGGAGAAACTCTAGCATCGATTCTTCCTACTGTAGATCCCCTCTGCCCACTGGAGATCATCATAGAGAAGTATTGAGAGGCAGGACACTGTTATGACCTCACATTTGCTTTGAGCAGGGACACAAGTGAGTAAGTGAATCATCCTAGCTGATGTTTGTAGGTTGCAACCAAGGAGCATGATAAAAGAAAGGGGACATTCTTAACTCCAAGTGCACTTCAGCACACTAAAGTGTTTTATGGATTTGGAGTGTTCCTTTAAATGAATAGCAACATGTATTCTTAATGCTTATCTCCCTATTTTCAAGCTCCCATTGCAAAATTAAATGTAAAAAATGTGGTTATGGAGTAAATATATTTTACTTTCCTTTTTCCGGAGCTGAGACTCACTAGGTGCTTCCACTAATCCTGCCTCTGCTGACATAATCCTGCAGGCATTGCTTCTTGACGACAAGCACATGCACAATAAGTACTACACTCATCCAATCAAATGCCTTTCATAGGGAAGCTATGAATTCAATGCTTCCTTATGATCAGCACTTGATGACGCTTGGCGTCAAACTCTGTTGCTGCGGAAGCACCCTCTAATGGCGGTCAGGAAGACAGTCACTAGAACTTTCCATAGCCCTACAATCAAAACATTGCTGTATCTACTAAACGACCGTGTTCTAGATTGCAGGACTAAAACGACAAGGGCACTGCACCAAGACTACTTAATTGAAATTGAGTGGTCTGGGTGCCTGTAGTGCTACTAGTGCTAATTACATTTAAAAAAGGAGCATTTCACTCAGACCACTTCAATGAGCTGAGGTGGTCTAGGTGCCTTTAGTGTCCATTTAGAGCGTCTCTGTCACTTAGCAGGCTTTATTTTCAAATAATTTTTCACCCCTATATTTCTCCTTGTTAATTAACTATTTTGTTTTTTTCTTAATATTTATTTCATATTAAAAATCAACAACATTTTATATAATGGGTCACACATAAATATAAACATACACTCAAAAACTTGATCTAACCTAACACTAAATACAAAAAATACAGTAATACTTCACAGTACATACATTACATTTAAACACATCACCCCAACACCATGTGCCTTAATCCTTGTACTAATAGGTTTTAGTCCTGATCTATTTAACCATGAGCCCAATATTTCATATCTCTTTAAAGAATTAAAAAAGGCATACTTAGATCTTTTTCCATCCTAATCTGTAAGTGTAATTGCGTTTTGATTATGTCCCACGATAGATCACATGATTGACCTCAGTGGTGCGCTGAGGTCATTTTAAAAACAACAAAAGTGCGTGAGTAATTAAAAAACTCATGTTTTTCCAAAACAGCTCAGGCCACTGCATATGTAAAAGCCAATTACAGGATTTGTATCTAATTTAACATTAGTCATATCTTTTATATGTTCAAAAAGCTTATTATAGGCTTTCTTAATATTTTTGAAATTAATCTTTCATTTTGAAAAAGTAGGGACTTATTTTTAATTTAATTATTTACATGGATACCATAATGTGTTGTAAATGGAAAGTTTAATCTCAGTTGCAAAGTGAACTACCCCCACAGCCCATTAGTAAAAAGGATCCCACAGAAGGGCAAACCCATAGGCGTGCGCAGCCTATTGTATAAGGGTGTGTATCCTAAAGCAGAAACACACATGCCACGTATATATATTTTTATATATATATATATATATATATATATATACACATACACACACTGGTGTGTGTGTGAAGGTGCTCTGTGTGTAAGGGTGCTGTTATTGTGTGCTGTGTGTATGTGTAAAGGTGCTGTTAGTGTGTGAGGGTGTTAGTGTGTGCTGTGTGTGTGTGAGGGTACTGTGTGTAAGGGTTTTGTTAGTGTGAGGGTGCTGTGTGTGTAAGGGTGTTGTTAGTGTGTGCTGTGAGGGTGCTGTGTGTGTAAGGGTGTTGTTAGTATGTGTGTGCTGTGTGTGTAAGGGTGTTGTCAGTGTGAGGGTGCTGTTAGTGTGTGTGTGTGTGTAAGGGTGATGTATGTGTGTGTGCTGTATGTTTGTGTGTAATGTGTGGGGGCTGTTTAATTAATATCCCCCCTCCCTTCTTACCTTATGTAGGGAGGGGGGACCGTGCTCCTGCCTTCCCTGTTGGAGAGTGAACTCTAGCGAGATCTGAGCGCGGCAATGCTCCGACCGCGCGATAGGAACCCGGCGGAGCTGCTGGCAAGAGCTCCCCAGGTCCTTTGGACTGGCTGAGATCATCAGTATTGAAAATCTTAGCCCGAAAAAATAGCTGTGGTGAAGCTAGCAGACCAGGGGATAGGTGAGTAAATCTTTCTCTGAGCTTAGAAGCCAAATACTCAAAAGGAAGTGAAGGAATCAAGTGAGCTGTATGTATCCGAGGATAAGAGCGGTGTACAGATGGGATATGACAGAGAAAGGTTCTAAGGAATGAGGTATTAAGGGCAGAACTGATAGGCTTCTTGCAAGTAGTGTTTTGGTTTTTTTTTTTTAATATGACTTCAGAGATGGGATAGTGAGTTGTTCTGCAGGAGGTTATTCTATAAGGAGAAGAAATGCAGGTGAGTGAGGTGTGGGTGCAAGAATGGGACAGTAACAGGGCATCAGCAGAGATGCAAAGCTGGTGCATATCTACTAAAGAGGGAGGAGATGTTAGTCCTGGAGTGCTTTTGTATGTAAGCACAAGAACTTTCATCCAAATCTTAAATGAAACAGGCAGCCAGTGTAGAGACTGTCAGAGGGGTGAGGTATACGTTGCAGGATGTAAGAGAAATTAGTCAGACAGAGGTGTTCATTATGGATTTTAGAGGGGCAATCTGGGTACTATTCAGTACGACAAGAAGAGGGTTAGGATAATCAAAGTGGGAAACAAGAATTTGTTTTAAAAGGTGAAAGCGACAGAATTTGGTGACAGATTTTATGTAAGGGATGAAGGAAAGGCCAGAGTCAACAAACATACGAGGTGGTGTAAAGGTCATGATGGCTCCATTGACCTTAAGGAAACTGGACCAGAAGTAGCCATAGAAGGAGAAAAGAGAAGGAGTCTGCTCTTGAGTGGTTGTTCTATGAATCATATAGTCATCCAATCAGAAACAAAGGATAGGTTGTCAGTGACGCGATCTAGCAGACAGGGAGAAAGATTGGGTGAAGAGAGGCAGATTTGGGTATCGACCGCGTACAGTTGAAAGCTGCGGGATATCAGGTCACCAAGAGAGACAGTGTAAATTGAGAAAAGAAAAGATCCCAGTGTGGAGCCTTGAGGAACTCCAACCAAGAGAAGCACAGTAGGGAAGGAGGAACCAGAGAATGAGACCTTGAAGGAGTGATCAGAAAGGTAGGAAGAGAACCAGAAAAGAGCGGTGTTGCAAAGGTTGAGGAGAAGTGGATGATCAAGAAGAATATGTAGCGAATATCAGGCTTTGGATTTGGCTCCCACAAAGTCATTAGTCAGGGTGGTCTCAGTGGAATGTTGGGAGCAGAAGTCTGTCTGTAGCAGGTCGAGTAAGGAATTGGAGTTCAGATAGTCTATATTAGAACTTGAACAAGACTTTTACATTAACTTATGTTGCACAGGCTATGGCACATGCCTGAGGAATGGGACCTTTTCCCTAGTCCCTCTCCTCGACGGTTCAAACTCCAGGCTCTGTAGATCCACCCACTTCTATGGCATGGTGTCGGCATCATGACGCAGATGACATCGCGGTCAGCCAAAACTGTTGAATGCAAACTTTTGGGAAGGGGAAGTGTGGCTATAAAGTTACAGAGACACTCTTTATAAAGGGTTCCTGGGGCATAGGTCATTGCCCTGGTTTGGTTCATTTTTTGTTCCCAGTAATGCGTTCTAGTTCTCTGTGTATTTCTTGGCTATTCTGACTCTTAGGAAGGAGATAAAAAGGAGAGCGATAGAAGATTTTAGTTAAAGATGGGACAGTCGCAGATGACAGAGATTGATTTAAGATGGGAGGGATGATGCCAGGAAGAAAGAAGAAGCTTAGAAACCTCTTCAGAAGGGTCGAGCAGAAACCGCTGGGAAGATACTAACAGGGTTACTTACTAAACTGAGAATTCTTTAATCTTAATTTTAGTAACAGGAGACTTCACATGTTGCATAATTTTTCTTTACTAGCTCCACA